ATGTGGATCTACCTTAACTTTTGTCCAAAACATATTAACATGATTGAAAGCAATAACTATTTTACCTTTTTAGAACATGAGAGTAAGAATTAACCATTTCTATGTATGAGATAATATTTATATTTTTGTGAATAAAAAATAACTTTATAGCACTTAAAAATCTATAAATAAAAAATCGCAGAAAGAGAAAATAATTTTCAATGAATAAAAAAATTGCTTTTTGCACGTGGAGTAAATATATAGTTTTATGTATGTCCAAGGGCACAAGGACATAGTTTACGAGAGAGTGAAATATTATTTAAAATATTGATTTTTATAATTGCATATTTTGAATTATATTTTTTTACTTATAATTGCATTGCATTTTTTTAATCGAAACTCATTTTTCTTATAAATTATAACGTATTTTGTGCTTTTCCAACAGCACTTATTTTTTGATGATTGGTAAGATGGATCATGCTCAGATCAAAAAGCTTTATAAACATGAGATAAAAAATTGTGTATCATTTTACCATGTCCCCACATTTGCGAGAATGGATCTGGTAATGAAGCAAAAAATTCCAAGAAACTAAAATGGAAAGTTAATATTATAATGTAAATACTTCAATAGATTGAAAACCAACCTGTTTCGAGCACTCTAAAACAGGCGCCTATTCTCAAGACGCGCTAGACGTGAATGAAAAAAGGCGAAACTAATCTGAAAAAATAAGTGAAACTGGTACGGAGAAAAATGAAAAAAATTTTCCACCTTTATTTTGCTTTCCTTTCTCTCTTTGCCAACTTCTTATTTTCTTTAACTGTTTTGTTTTCTTTATTCACGCCTGGTGAGTCTTAAAAATGGGAGCATTTTTTAAGTGCACGAAACGCTTTGACCTTTTCTTTTACCTTTTTCACTTATGACGCAAATGTGATGTTTCCATTATCAAGTGAATCTGCTTGTGTTCACAATCATTTCAAAACATTATTTTTTTTAATAATTTTAAATTGTTCAAAATATTCGTAGAAAACATTCATACTAACCAAATTCTTAGAATGGATTAATTATCATGCTTGATTTTTAGAAGCAGCAATTTCATGACTTATGTGAATATTATGTGTCTAAAATTACATGGAATTTTGCATGCAAACTCTTCATTATTTTATTATTTCATTATAATATTTAATTAACTTTCTAGAAAACGCTTTCATTGTTCTTTAACAAACAAATTAATTTAATAAACATTACAGAATATAGTGAAACAGCAAAACATATTGATCAGTTATAAAGTAATATAGCGGAAATCAAAACATAGTTTACTTCAAATAATTATAGTTTAAAATAAATCCTTATAAAAATATTCATTTTACATAAAATCACAGTTAAAATTTTATATCGTATTCAAATTTCGGAATTGTCAACAGTTTCTTTCACAACACGGTATCTTTAAAATTCGTCACGACGAACATATTTATTTTTATTTGTTACTTCCTTATACATTCGTTCAAATGACATTCCCCTTCAGGTTTCAAAAACGTATTTCGCTTATTTACAACCCAATACATTTCCCTTACGTTCTCCTCCGGGTTATTATACTTAAAAGCTTATTTATTTGCGCATACCCCTACTCTCAACTACTCTTACAAAACGTGTATTCAGATTGTCTTTTTCCCCAATGGCTGTCAAAACATCGCATTTGAAATTCGAATGCTACTTTAAATCGACAAATTTAAAAAGGAAAAGTAACACAAATTTGAATCCACTTGTCATCACATATGACATTGCGATTTTTTCTTTTTTAACTTATCGGTGAGAAGATGGAACTAAAGTTTTGATTCTTACTGAAATAGCACTACCAATTATGACTTCGATGCAAGTGGTATTGAAGTATTAATTTGCATAACAGTTCTCCGAGTTTAACCGAAGTTGAGTTGAGTTGAGTTGTACTATTGAGATGAAGTTAAGTTATGCTTGAAACGTTATTATTTATAATTATAAGCAACGCGAGACTGACATTAAGTTAAAACAAAAGTGAAATATAATTTTAATTAATTTAAAAATGGCAATGGATGCATTTTTTTGTATATCAAAATGGAACTATTTTGTTAATTGTGAATTAAAATCTAGTTAGTCAAATCTAGTTAGGCATTTTACTTTTTTAATGAATTTATATGCCAGTTATTTTTTCCTATAGAACAAAAAAACTAAAATCCTTTGAGAAGTATATATAATACATTTTTAATAAATTTGAAATATTATATTTTTAAATTAAAAATACACTCAAGCACACATGAGTTAGGAAAAACAAGTTAATTATGAGTTGATTCTTCGACCAATGTAACGTTTTGTAACGCAGATTTTTGGGTTTTTTTTAACAGTTTGAGCTATGGTTTGGCTTCTGTTGTTGTTGTTGTTGACTTATTCCTCTTGGTCAGCCGCAGGCTAGACCAAGTCAATGAGCTGGAAAATCTTCAGGAAATCAAATAGAAGTAAGGGACCAAAGGGTCTGGCTTCTTTTTCATAATACAAACAACATAGCTACGTACGCATAGCTTGTTCAAGGTTATTTGTTCTTTGCTGTTTGTTCAAAAAAAAAAACTGAAGCGAGCGTAGTGTACGTATACATAGCAAGCGTACACAAGATTACACAAAGGAAGTCATTTTGTACGCAGTGAAGCAAAACATTAGCTAAAATTAGCACCTGGCTAAATCAAGGTGCGTCAATCAACCGCGCAGCATTTTTTTTTTTTTTTTTTTTTTGTTTTGAGATGGAGTCTCACTCTNTTTTTTTTTTTTTTTTTTTTTTTTTGCCGCGTAGACTTCAGGAGCCGTAGATCTAACTCGTTAACTACCCAACTATATTTCAATAGTACTTAAGTATATTAACCACAAATAGAGTTATAATAATCAAAAATACGAATAATTAAACCAACTTTAAGTAATTTTGATACTTTTTTTCATTTTCTTGTACAAGCATTAAAAGTTATTTTATAAATTTTGATCAAAAATAATTCTTAAAAGTATGGAATTATTTAGTTCATCCTATAAATATTAAAACATAGTTTGCTATTTATAACAATTTATAATCTATACTTCATTTCATTTAAAGTAGCACATTATATTCTTAACAACCAATTAATGTTCTCAACCCTGATTATTTTTATTAACAACACTCAACATATAACATAAATTATTTATACCCAGCTACGGCAAATCTGCCGGTCCATCATCATAAATTTGCTGTAAGAGGATTGCTGAAATGCAAGGTCAGCATTTTCTGAGTTGCAAACTCAGAGGAAAAGCGATTTCCTACTATTTTTTGATGCACTACCAGCAGATTTTGGTCAGCTCATTAGCTTCTGACAGCCAACCATCTGAATATTCAGCTGCTTTTCGGCTTTGTATTCCATAAAGATCATCGATTAATCGAGAAGACTAATATCATCAAATTAAATTTATAAGAAAAAGAAGTAATTTTTAATTAATCCTATGAGAAAGATATTTATTTAACAAAATTATTTTCTATGGAGATACTTACTTTAATTAAAATATTTTTGAGGCAAAATATATTTCTACTAACATTAAATTCTTCACCATATGCAAGACAAATGCCAGATTTCTTGTTATTTATACATTTGCTTTGAAATTAAGTACAGATTTAAAGTGGATCGTGGTAGCCCAGTGGTTAGCGAAACGAACTCATGTGCAGAGAGGCCAGGGTTCAATCCTCTACTCCACTAAGATCTACTACAAGTAATATATGTGATTGTAAAATCTCAGGAATCAAAAGTCCTGTGGTCAGTCATTGACCCGTAACAGGGGTACATGGATCTAGAGAAAATTTATTCCTTCTTCAGATCAATGCCTAAATTATGGAAGTGATCTTACGAACGAATGGTACTGCCATCTATCTGTTGGGCTCTGAGCAACGACGTACTTTCACACTTATGGTCAAACGAAAAGTGAACCTTCCTGTCTTAATTCACAAAATGCCTATGGCCGGCGAGTTTCGCTTTTCCAAGTGTCTTTAGAAACAACAAATTTAAAACATTTTTCCTGATAAATCGGCTTTCTTAAATATACAGATAAATTATTTAGAAGTGTCAGTCACTTGTAATAAAATTGTCGATGCAAGATACTTTCTTGGTCTCAAATGCTCTTCTAAAATGCGAGAAAATATTTTTTCAAAGATGATTCATGCTTTATTATCAAAGAAAAACAAACATCAATATTTAACAGATTTCAGAACCAACTTCAGATAGAATATAAATTGATAAAGACAGTCTAAAAATCTCATTGTGTTTGTCAAGGACTGAAAAAAGTGAGTCATCATTTGTCTATACTTCAAGACAAAACTCTCCTAATGAGAATCTTCAGCAGAAACGTCAATTGAAACTTCTTATACTAAATATCTTGAATTAGTGTTTAAAGAGTACTGATAATAACTTACTTACTTTACAAAGAGCTTCCGAGTTATAATGAAGATTTTCTTTAGGATTATTTTCAGATTATAAGAAAAGGAAAAGTCACAAATTTTAGTCAAAAAACGTTAACCATGAAAATAACAAATTTACTTGATGTAACTTTACTTTATATAATTTTTACTTTTTTTAAAACATTCTTTGTTATCATTTGCTGAAGCATGCATATATTTAAATTGATAGCTTTGACGGATTGATCAGGATAGTCCCATTCTTTTCCCAATTATGATATGCAGCAGAATTTTTTCGCACTAAGAAGCAAGTATGATTTATAAGTTGTTTAAATCTCTGATTTTTTTTAACTGATATAACTTTAATTACGATAATTTAATAGCTAACGATAATTTATAACTACAATAATTTGATAACTTTATTTCGAAAATATTTCAATTCAGACTCTTTCTATGAAAGATGTGATAAAATTAGTTTCGAAAATATTCACAGCTTGCAAACTATTTTTGTAAAAATGTTTTACCCGTAAGTGTCCCTACGTGCTGCATTTTACTTTAGTTATAAATGATCGAAATGTATGAAGGGACAAACGTAAACAGTTTTCTAAAAAAAATGTAGACGCCTTTTTTGCGACCATTTTCAGTCTATTTAAAAGAAAAATATTTTGAAAAAAATAAACGTACCTCCAAATGGCGTTACTTTGGACAGTTTAAATCTTCTAGTAAAAACTCCGCATTCTTCGTCGATTAGATAGGAAGAGTAACTTCTGAATTTGGATTCTGCTCTCTCCGTAAATATTCAAGAACAAGATAGACAAGGTTACTTTTGCTATCACTGCAACTTTACCCACCAGGAACAGAACACTACTTTTTGAATCAACTTCTTGAAAACGTTTCCTTAGTAGGGAGAAAATTGAACAAAATATATACAAGATAAAGGCAAAAGGTTATTATGATTCATCACGTTTTATAAATATCTATACATTGTAAAAATATTCCTTATTAAATTACGGTATAAAGTAGTACGGATTCTTCTAGCGCATCATCCGTAATATCCATTTTATATCGTAAAATGTTGTACAGTTACTTTTATTTAATTAGAATGATTCAATGATTTTATGAGAATTATTTCTTTAAAATTTATGGAATATCATGCTTTTTTTTGTTTTAAAACACGTTCCCTTAAAAATGGATGTTACAGTAAAATGTCCCAGCACCCTGACTGTTGGTTCTTTTTTCCACCGTGATTTGTTTCGGAATTTTTTACAGTGTAGAAGAAATGCTTTAAATTTTTAGACTATAGTTATAAAATTATTGAAAGTAACTCTTAGTAGAAATAATCAAATGAAGAGAACACGCCTTTTGGTGCACGGTTTGATTCACTCTGCTTGAAAATATTTAAAAAAAATATTCCTTAAGAAGTATATAACTATCGTTTCTTTGGAGCTAGAGTTATGAAGACAACGTTTTCCTTCACTTTTTCAGGAAAAGGGAATGACGCTTCTTTGTCTTCGGTTCTCAATGAGAACGCATATCGTTGCAATTTTTTCCAACCCATACCTTAAAGATTTCTCTCAGATATTTCGCATCCTCAACGTCTCCTGCTTGCAAGTTTAGGAATCTTTAATACATTCTAATGTTTTGCATAGTTTCCACCATTCTTTTTTTGTCAGAAATTATTAAATAAGGTGTAAACATGTACGATATTTCATCACTGCTCAATTCAGAGCTGTTAAAAATTCTGGCTCCCATTGCGGTATAATATACCAGTACCTCTGGCAAATCATTTGTAAATTCCATTTTACAGAAAAATACCGTAAAATTCCATTTTCCGTAGTATGGCCATAGTTTCTACTGTAATATTTATTTAATCAGAAAAACTCAGTAATTTTACTCTGATTAATATTACAAAAAATGCGGTAAAACAGATTTTTTTCCGCAGCAGGTTTCGGTAAAAATGGATTTTACGGTAAAAAGTTCCAGTATTCTGAGTATCGGTACTACTTTCCGTAAGCTGAACCATAAGTTTTTACATTGCGTCATACTAGACAACCTATGACAATTAGTGAGAGGTGGGTAAAGTAAACACAGCGTTTTTATGGATCATGGAAGAGTATTGCTGCACCAAAAAATTACGTAAAAGTTAAGGTACAAATCTCATTATCAAATCGTCAACCACAATCATGCTAACCTTACAATCTTCAGCCCTAATATTTACTACACTCTTAAAGAGCAATAAGCAGCAGCTTTTTGCCACCCAAACTTTCTTTATACAATAATCAATTTTATCTCGGTGATCCCAATAGCAGCTTTTTGCCACCCAAATTTTCTTTAAGGAATAATTAATTTTATTCATGTAATCAAATGTCTTTAAGAGATCTTTAAAATAATTCAAATAATTATCTTTTATAGCGTACCAGAAAAATACGAGTTCAAAAATTAATTTGCACTCTACTTAAGTGTTTTTGTACAAAAAATTAGACTTGATTTGCGAGTTACACCTCTGTAATTTTGGTATCTTCTTTAATTGCAATGAGAAAAAATTAATTTCACAATAAATAAACTTTCAAGCTTAATTTTATAACTTTTAAATAAATCAATGTCGTCCATAATAAAATAATTATATTTCATTAAGAAGTACAGATAATCATAAATAATCAACAGTTTAAAGAAGTTTTTTGAATCTTAAATATTTTCCCACTTTTTTTCCAGATGTAATGAAATAAATAAAAATGCAATAAAGAAATAAGCTCTTCTTTACAGGTATAAAAAATTGGTGACAATGAAAAAAGGATCAAATTTAACAGATTTGAAATAAATCTTAACAGCTCAATAATTTAGAATAAAAAATAGTATGAAGCATTGCAACGTCATTGATCGATAAAAAAGATATATCCGATGTGGTGAATTCAAATGATCGAAAACCTTTCCAAATATGTAGGGAAGAATATTCTGTCAAGTGAGATGGAATTTCTTTTTCATCACACTCTAAATGAATTGAAGCTATCCAAAAAAAATATTTAAAGCTATACGAAGGAAATAAAAAAAATTGCAATAGAAGTTTTAGAAAGAAATGTAGTATGACGATTCGGAGTATTTTGACATTTTTGATGGTTAAAAAAACACTTCTGATTTTACTTGAAGCAGTTATTTGAATATTGTTACCAAGTTAATGTAGTTGCTAGGAGCTGAAATCGCTGTTCTTCTGAGTCATCTTTTTATCTTTAGTTTCAATTTTTAAGTGCATTTGACACTAATTTCAGTATATTTTTGCAGGATTTGAAGTGCTGCATATAAGAAAATAGCTTTGTCATTAAATGTGATTGATTGCATTTTTTTCTAAGCGAAAGCTCTTATTTTTACATCAAATGGGAAAAAAAGCAACCTAATAACGCTTTTTAACGTGTTTTTTTATTTATTTTTTTCATGTTTTTCTTTAGCGTTACTATTCTCCAAAAACTTACCAATGACTTGTTTTGAGAGCCCCTTATATCAAAAGAAAAATATACGAAGCAAGAAGAAAATAAGATAGTTTTTCTTATAAAAGTATATTTCTTATATAAGACAATTGCAAATTTTAAGGCAAAATCGTTTATTTGTGAATTACATAATATAGTTTCTTTATTTTGCTTTCCGTATTTTTAGTAAGTTTGAATTTTTTTAAAAATATTTTTAAAGACTTAAATTTAAACCTGTAAGAAAATTGTAAGGACAAACGTAAACAGTTTTCTAAAANTATATATATATATCCTTACAATTTTCTTACAAGTTTAAATTTAAGTCTTTTAGAGAATAGGGCTCCTTACAAACTCAACTGAAAAGGATAAAATCTTCAACACCCACTTTCACACATTATCTATGCTACACACACTTGCTTGAAATAATGCCTCACTGAAACTTCTAAATCTAAACATAGCAGAATAATTAACTCGAAGCAATTTCCTTTGAAACGAAACTTACGTATTGATTAATAACTTTGTAGATGAAAGCGGTCCTCTCATTAACGAAGAATTAGAATTTTGAAACACTTAAATTCTTTTTATGTATTTTTCAAGAAGAGAAAGTGAGAAAAAGTTTTAACATAAGAAATTTTAATTAATAGTTTTTTTTTATTCAAATCTTAACGAATAAGTAAATTTTTATGGCATTATCTTAAGAGTATTTTTGAAGCTTATGTTCGTTATGGAAAATGAAAAAATCACAGTTTCAAGTGCTTTACTCTGGAAGAAAATCTTTAATTCTAAACTTTATAGACCATCTTGTCATAAAGAATTATGTGAATTATTATAGATTTTGAAAAGGAATGCAGCATAATAAAAGGCTATTATACTATCTCAAAAATCCCCAATTTGGCGAAATTTTTCGGTCTACATAAAAATTATTAAAATCAGTAAGTAATTTTTAGTTTTTGTCCATTTTTATGGGTTCAGATAATTCAACGTTGAAGTTAAATTGAAGTCAATTGAAGTCAACTCAGTCAGCGTTGAAGTCAACATTTTTTTAAACAGAAATGAATCAATAACATAAGCTTTTCGAGTTTACAAATTAAAATTGTGTGTCAATTTTAGAATTTGCTTTGAGGCAGTGGCTCAGAGGATAAAGGGTTTGCCTCCCAATTAGGTGAACCGGGTTCGAATCCCAGCAGCGGCATGTCGATACGAATTCTGTTCCTAGCTCTCACTAACCATGGTGCTGATGAAAACATATTCTCATTGATAGGCGGATAATGGGTTAAAATCTCCTTGCCATTGGGCTAATCATGGGAGGTTTCTGTGGTTTTCATCTAGATGCGAGCTAAAAAATTCCATCAAAAAGTCCTCCATGAAGACTAGTTTGTCTCAAAGCTTGATCCATGAGTTATCTTGTCTTCTGGGTGGAGCTCATACTTACAAGGCTAGGGAGTTGATCATTCATACACATAAACTCGTAATAAGGTTGGATCGGCTGTTCAAACCCGATTATGAAATATAGAATTTTCATTGACATTACTAGCTAAAGATAGATAAAGCCTAATCTAACCTTCAAGAATAACTCTTGCAAAACAAAGCAGTTATAAAAATAGCCCATCATTTACTTAAAAGCTAGCTTTTAAATCAGGGAAGAGCTTTAGTAGAAAGCTGTCATCTGATCATTGGATAAAAAATTATTCAGGATGGTCCTTTCTTTTTCTTTTGCACAATGTACATGTAAAATAATTTTTTTAACATTGACCGGAATAACTCTCTATTACTTAAAAAATATTGTTATTGCTTTAATAGTTATTGAAATAATCTTAAAATAGTCAGTTCTTGACAAGATTAAATAAACTTGTCCTGGTAAATAAATGTACTATAATCCTTAAATTGGTGAGAAAGTCTCAATCAATTGCAAATCATTTATGCGTCTCCACCTAAACTTAAAGCAAGAAGTTTGGGGTTTCTGAAATTGCAGGACAGGGAGTAAAACTATTTTTATTTTATTTTTTTTACTATATTAACAAATTGCTTGCTTTTAAATCAGGGAAGAGCTTTAGTAGAAAGCTACGATCCGGAAATATTGTTATTGCATTAATAGTTATTAAAATAATCTTAAAATAATCAGTTCTTGACAAGATTAAATAAACTTGCCTTGGTAAATAAATGTACTATAATCCTTAAATTGGTGAGAAAGTCTCAATCAATTGCAAATCATTTATGCGTCTCCACCTTAAATTAAAGCAAGGAGTTAGTGTTTTCTGAAATTGCTGGACAGGGAGTAAAACTATTTTTATAGCTCTCCTTGCAAGGAACTAGATCATAAAGTCTTCTTTTCGTTTTCTAGAATACATATTATTTCTAAATAATAGCTCATAAACTGAAATGGAAATGTCAAAGTTAAAGAAAAAAGAAATTTTTATTGTTTACAATCTGAAAATCTGT